ACTCACATGGAAACTCCATCGATTCGGTGAACTGACAGGATATAACCATTAAAAATGGTTAATTCCTTTTCCACAAACTTAACAAAAGCTTTTATATGGAAAAAGAAATTGGAGATGCACTTGTATCGATTTGTATCCACTTTCACATGGAGCGTCTTGGATCCATCCTGGTCCTCACGCGCAGATATCCCTTTGATTGGTGACGATCCTGACATATTCAACTATTAAAAAAACGGTTATGGTGAGTTTCGTATACGAGTTTCATAGTTATAATGAATTCATCATATGTACGGTAAAGGGTGTAGCAAAAGATGTTTTAACTTACCTTTATACACCAGTTATTGCAACAGTATCTATAATTATAAATCTTCTCAAACTTGATGTCTGCCTCTGCTTTGTCCTGACTTTGATGCAATGTGCACTATCCCAACTTGCAGAAGACTTTATATACTCTTGGTCGTGTAAAAGTTCATTGTTTCAATAATATTACAGGAAGACCAACTGTGGTTCCGCGGGCACGGCGTTACGGCTGTATTATATCTTGTCAACACAGCATTATTAACTTTTATAATAATAATTCGGTTCCGCGGGCACGGCGTTACGGCTGTATTATATCTTGTCAACACAGCATTATTAACTTTTATAATAATAATTCGGTTCCGCGGGCACGGCGTTACGGCTGTATTATATCTTGTCAACACAGCATTATTAATAATTCGGTTCCCCGGGCACGGCGTTACGGCTGTATTATATCTTGTCAACGCAGCATTATTAATAATTCGGTTCCGCGGGCACGGCGTTACGGCTGTATTATATCTTGTCAACGCACTTTTATTAACTATAATGATTTGGTTCCGCGGGCACGGCGTTACGGCTGTGTTATATCTTGTCAACTTAAAACTATAATAATAATGATTTGGTTCCGCGGGCACGGCGTTACGGCTGTATTATATCTTGTCAATTTAAAACTATATTCTATAATAATAATAATACGGTTCCCCGGGCACGGCGTTACGGCTGTATTATATCTTGTCAACACAGCATTATTAATAATTCGGTTCCGCGGGCACGGCGTTACGGCTGTATTATATCTTGTCAACGCACTTTTATTAACTATAATGATTTGGTTCCGCGGGCACGGCGTTACGGCTGTGTTATATCTTGTCAACTTAAAACTATAATAATAATAATGATTTGGTTCCGCGGGCACGGCGTTACGTCTGTATAATATCTTGTCAATTTAAAACTATATTCTATAATAATAATAATAATTCGGTTCCGCGGGCACGGCGTTACCGGCTGTGTTATATCTTGTCAACACACTTTTATTAACTATAATAATGATTTGGTTCCGCGGGCACGGTGTTACGGCTGTATTATATCTTGTCAACTTAAAACTATAATAATAATAAAAATTTGGTTCCGCGGGCACGTGTTACGATAACATTATAGATCTTAGTAATTTGTGAAAAATTTGGTTCCGCGGGCACGGTCATTATTCACTAATCATGTCAAATAGGCTCAAAATCCAAATGTTGATGTATGCCCGGTTTAGTAGCATTTAAAACAATACCATGGGTAACAGGTTCCTCTATGGGCTAGTCCATGACATTTAATTGGTGACATCTGGTTTCTATATATGCCAGGTGCGAGATTGTTTTTCACTGTATGATAATTGGTTTCGTATTTTCAGAATATTTCAGTATTAATTATATTAATATAATAATATTACTAATATTTTTAATATTAGTTTATAAGCAGAACAAGTGATGTAAAATGGTTACGCGAGCACGGCGTGCTCATGAAATTTTGCAAACGCGATCGGTTTATTTCAGGCATGGTATAGTTTTGCAATGCTGTAAATGCTAAATGCGCACTTTTCAAAGTAATAGTTACGGAGAGAGAAAATCCGACAAATAGTGGCATAATGGTAAGGCCACTCCAAATTAGACCTTAGTTTCCTGTCTTGTGTTTCCTAGAACTGGCCGCATGATTTCCCAATATTGTGAAGTTGTTTCCATTATTTGACTTTTGTGACAAACGATTATGAAATAATGGGTCATGTTTCATCTTTCAGACACCTTAATGGATAATGGAAATGGACCGCCCATTACCCCCATATAGGCGGGAATCATAGATATCTTATATACACTAGATAGCGCATCTCTTTTAGTAAAATTGAAGCCAAGAATATTCCAGCGGTTACTCCCATTTGAATAGATGGTGGCCATGTTGGAGTTTCCCACTCGCTAATAAACGCTTAAAAAACAACAATTACTTTCATCATTTGAATAGTTTGAAAATGTTTTTTGAATACGTTTAACTTAATGTTTAAGTTCCCTGTTTAAGAAATAGAAAACATACAAGTCTTCTCATTTCATGGGAATATCCTGAGGCGTAAAAAAAAAATACCTGTGGTTCCGGTTTCATATTGTGAAAAAATTAGGGTCGGTAGGTCGGAAATAAAATTTTTTTTTGAATATTTTTTTCATGGTTTTGGCAGTTTTTTGCTGGGCGATTTGCAGTAGAGTCCCAACATCAATATTAACTAGAGATGCGTATTTCCTATGGACGAATTTAGGCAATTTGGTTCAATAATTAGTGTGACAACAGACGCCATTTTGGCACGCTGTACGAGCAGCCAGCAACCACCTGGAGAAAATAGGGTCACACGGTCAATCGCGTTGAAAAAATAATAGGGTCGGCAGAAAAAAATAGGGTCGGTTGGGAACCGGAACCACAGGTATTTTTTTTTACGCCTGAGTCTGCAATCACGGCTTCAATTTTTGAATTGCAGAATAATTAGATGCACTATCTAGTGTATATAAGATACCTATGGCGGGAATTTGACGGCCAGGTCGGGCATTTGACAACAACTTGCTCAGCGGTTTTCCCTAAAAATATGTGCACATTCTAGCGCTTCATGAGTTTTCTATTTTACGTCTTTTCGATAGTTTAAAAATTGTTTCTGAATCACAAATATCAATCATAGATATATGATACAATATGCCCGGTTGAACACAAAGAAGAAGTGTCTGGCCTATTTTTCGTTGTTTTTAATCCTGAAATACTTGTTAAATTTAAATTCAGTCAAAATTCCCGAACCAGGACTACCCCTATAGCAGGGCATTTGACTGTGGTTTTTGCCTGCTCAGGCAGGCATTTGACCAATTATTTTTTCAAAAGTCAAATTCCCCCGATCTCGCTGGATTTGACTCATACATTATATACTGGACTATTTAACTTGACATTTCATGGCAAGTTGAGTATATATATATATATATATATATATATATATATATATATATATATATATATATATATATATATATATATATATATATATATATATATATATATATATATATACACTGGATCCAGAAAAGTTTGAAAAACGTACCCTTAAATAAAAAATAAATAGTCCGCGAATTCAATAAAACTCTCAAATAACATCGAACGAATGAATTGTTGCCGTAGTCATGCACCGTGAAAATGATGCAAATCACGTATTAGTTTCAACAACTACGGCATTGCACAACGCTTAACACCATGTAATTTACATTCGCCTTTGTCTTTGAGGATTAATGCTATTGTTAATGACCATATTGCCGTTGCGGTTGCCCTTTTATTTGCCGAACTCTCTATTATATTTTGCCAACGGAAATTTTAACGGAATTGATAGTCATTCGATATTTCATCCCCTGAAACTCAGCACACGCAGCATTCGTGACCTGGCGAAGCAGAAACGTTCACTTCCTACTAGCCATTATGTTCATTTCCAAATGTTCATTTCCTACTAGCCATTATGATTATGTGCAAAGACATCAATCAATGATTCTTTTATTCATTTGAGCTGTTGGAATAATATTGCAATATACAATACGTTGCGAGCGACATTTGATGTATGCGTTGGCGTATAATTAACCCAAGAAAATTCAAAATGGCCGACATATATATATATTCGAAGGTCAAACTTTTCTGGATCCAGTGTATATATATATATATATACATATATATATATATATATATATATATATATATATACATATATATATATATATATATATATATATATATATATATATATATATATATATATATATATATATATATATATATATATATATATATATATATGCTCCCCCTGACAACAACTGCAGTCATTTTAACCTGAAACATGTAAAAACTTTATAACGTTTTCGTCAGTCAATGATATATGACAGGCGACTGGTCGGTGAGGCGAGAGGCCTTAATCGTATCTTTACCGTATTTTGTCGCTATTAAAGTATTAATACATAACATACCCCATTTAACAGCCTTGAAAACATCCCACAGGCAGCTTGTTTATTTTCAAAACAGCTTCAAAGACTGCAAAAACAGCCTAGTATCACTGTATATAAAAGTCCTCAGATTTTAAATTGACCACCATCTTGGATTTGATCGCGAAGTAAACTGGACCCGAGTTAGCCTGAACACACACTTTCGTTTCCCCACGCCCTAAAATTCGCGGGTCAATGGAAAGGTTCGCTGTTTTCAGGCTAAAGTATAGAGTAGAGTTCACTATGGATTTGCCCCGGATATACTCCTAATACTCACGTGCTAAATTTAACTCATTCCTATTGGTCGGATTTTAGTGCGCTCCGATTGGTTCGCCATTCAGCATCGCAATTTATGCAAATTAAATATAAGTGAGAATATACACGCGTGAAAACGCTCAGGTTGATGCAATATTGATGAAAACAGGATTGAACAATGCTTTGCTGCCCACATTGTTCACAGTTGTCAACAATATTAAACAACATTGTTACACCCGATTCAGGCTCAACAAGATTGTTCAATATTGTTGACAAGTGTGTACAATGTGCGCAGCAAAACATTGCTCAATCCCGTTGAGCAGCGGGCTCGGCGTTTTTTGCAGATTATAATAACATTGGTAAATTCTGAACCCTGAAATTGTGTAAAAACACTCCGAAATAGTACCTGTCAAAACGGTTGAAATTGCAGATTTGTACCGGTATGATTCAGCCGCTAGTAGGCCTATATATGAAAGGTTTGACAGTAATATACAATAAACCTCCAAATATAACCCCCCTGTCTGTAATTTGTCTTTGTAACTTTTATGGCATTGTAAGATGTGAAAGTGAAAACATGTGAGCGCAGGAAGGAAACCCGCCAACACTATATTAAAATTAAAAATCCACACTTGAGATCAACCTTGTACGTAAATGTGAAATAGCTCAACTTTGTACCAAGTATTTCTAACCATCTACAAAATGTATGAATTATTACGGATGCAACTCAGGTTCATTGTCAGCACTATGCCAGATAGTTTAAGTACTGATGTTTGTGGTGTTACTCTGAGTGTATATCCACACCGGTTGAGCTTGTAAAATATGCCCGGCCGCAGTGGGAATCGAACCTACGACCTTTGGAATACTAGCCCAATGCTCTGCCAACTGAGCTACGCGTCCTGACCGCGTCGCTCAGTTGGCAGAGCATTGGGCTAGTATTCTAAAGGTCGTAGGTTCGATTCTCACCGCGTCCGGGCATATTTTTTAAGCTCGTCCGGTGTGGATATACACTCAGAGTAACACCACAAACATCATATTCACCTGAGTACACAACACCAACACAGAAAAAAAAGTTTAAGTGCTGTTTATAAACGAGCCGGAGTGTTTTATTAGGTTTAACCCATTAAGCGCCAGTGCTCTCCCTTTGACGAGTAAAATCGTCTGGCATTAGACAGAGTAAAATAATAAACTAGGGTACATTAGGGCGCAATGTGACTCATTGGGTTAAATAGATGCATGGGCAGATAGGCCAGTTAACCCATTAAGCACCAGTGCTCTTCCCTTGACAGGTAAAATCGTCTGGCGTTAGACAGAGTAAAATGATGACGTAGGGTGCATCAGGGCGCAATGTGACTCAATGGGTTAAAGTCAGTACAAATGCACAGCACGAGTGGCGTTAGACCTAATAAAACACAACCTGCAAGTTTATTAAACTGTTTCAAACACCACAACAAATTCAATACACCGCCCTATTAGTATTCTTTATATAATTTCACGTCCATTCAATATGTAAATGACAACAATTTTTTCATTTATATTTTCATTTCATTTTCATTCATTTCATTTATATTTTCATTCATTTCATTTATATTTTCATTTATTTATATTAACATTTCATTTATATTCCAATTTTTTCATTCCCTGAGGCCAGGTGATCTCGTGTTCGTATTTTAGCCAATCAGCGCTCAGAAAGGGTTGTCCGAATAGAAATCCATTTTGATGTATTCAGTCAATTATATCTTTTGTTACCCTTTATGAAACTAGTTGAAATTTTGTTATTATGTTTGGTTATGAGAACGAAAGCTCTGACAAAAATATGGAATCGAAATAAAGTATATTACAGGAAATATTCAGTTGTTTTAATCACAAAATGGATTTCTATTTGACAACTAGTGCCAGTACTTTTCCGCGTATCAAGATCACCTGGCCGAATTATATCCAAAATCTTTTCACTTCCAACATAGCTAATAGAGGAGATGGTTTGGAAACTCGTTAGCATTACAATAAAATTACAATAAACCTCATTATAATATAGTCATCCACCGTATATGAGCTGTTCTGCAATCTGATTGGTTGAATTACTCGCCGTATATCAGCTCATATACGGCGAGTAGCGAAAAACAAGATGGCGGTCCAAAAACTACATGAGTTTTGCGAAGCAGAACAAGAAAAATATTCCCTTTGAGAAACATAAGAGTACAAGGAAAACAACAGCGAAAAAACATGTTCATTGAAAATATAAATTGTTCAGAAAAGTTTGCAATGGACGACAAATGAATTTGCAGTCAACAAGCACTTACTATAGTACCAAACATCTGTATAATATATCTGAGCTTTCCTGTGAGATATAGAGGTTCTAAAACCATTTCTTTCACTTCGTCTTCGAGTTGTAACTAAATTGTCAACACATTGTAACAGTGAATAATTAATTACTGCTTCAGTTAATGGCTATATTAGACTATATTATAAAACAATTATACCATTCGCTCTCGTCGTATATGGCTGATAGCGTCTCGTCGTATATGGCTCATATACGACTCGAGTTCATGGTATAATTGTTAATTGTCTATGTTGTTCAGGCAGTATGCAAAAATGTGGTCTTTCATCGTCACGTGCGTATTGTATTTTTCTCAAGTCAACCAATAGGAATGTTCAAAATGTCCTATTGTTAAAGTCATGGATGGGCAATTGGACAAAACCGTTGCTATTGGCTGGTTGAGCAAAAATACAATACGCACTTGACGATGAAAGACCACATTTTTGCATAAACCTGAACACAACATAGATAGTGAGGTTTATTGTAATGTTAATGACTTTCCAAACCATCTCCTCTATCAACTATGCTTCCAACCGCTGTGGAATAAAATATGGAATAAAATGACTATTATGACCTCCTGTGCATGCTGCAGCTGCAATGTCATTCAATGCTGAGAAGTATATTGCTGAAAAGTGACCCCTTTCGGCTTGTGCAGACGATGTATATACAGTCAGTTTACAGTCAGTTCGTTACTGGCGATATTTGAAGCACTCCGTATCCTAGTTCCATACCGACCACCAACAATCATTCCAACCAAAGAACCAGAGAACACCACAACAGGAATATGTACAATCTCTGGCCGAATTTCCCCATATTCGTTTTTAGAAAATGCCCACTTAACTCGATCCCAAAATGTGTTTGGCTTTCCATTTTCAATCACCAGGTCTGACATCTACCAGACGAAAATCAAGTAGGAATTTACTAAAGGAAAAATTTTAGTATTTTATCAGTCTAATGCACCCTGATGCAGTCTAATGCAGTCTAATGCACCCTGACGCACCCTGATGCAGCCTAATGCAGTGTAATGCAGTGTAATGCACCCTGATGCACCCTGATGCACCCTAATGCAGTCTAATGCACCCTGACGCACCCTGATGCACCCTGATGCAGTCTAATGCAGCCTAATGCAGTGTAATGCACCCTGATGCAGTCTAATGCGGTGTAATGCACCCTGATGCAGCCTAATGCATTGTTTATTTATTTATTTAACTTTGCCAAGTAACATGCAACATTTAACAGCACTGATTTACAACAACATATAATATGTGCTCCATTGGCAGGGTGCACGCAACAGTTTTCACCAATTACAGCGGCCCCATTAACTATTTTAATACTATACAACAATATACAACGAACATAAATCTAATAACAACACGATATTTGACAGGACAGATTACGAGACTTATTACAAGACAAACATATGGATTTCCATGTACTTGGATCATCAACGTTAAAAACGTCTTCCAACGCTAACTTGTAATATTTTGAAAGTCCGTTTTTAAATTGTCCTAAACTAATGTTATTGCTTGTCAAACGCTTTGGTAGTACGTTCCATAGTCTCTTTGTTCGGTTGAGAAATGACCTTTGGTAGGTAGTGGTCTTGCATTGTGCTGTTGTGATTGACAGGTGATTGGGATTAGACGACCTGGTTTGTCTTCTGTTGTTATTGGGTGACGACGTTAATTTGTAGAAGGTTACCATATCTAGAAATTCATGCCAGTAGCACAATGGATGGAGATCTAAAAGTGCAAGTCTCTGGTTGTAGGTTGTGTCACAACGGAAGGGCAGATTTTGAAGTCTTTCCACGCGTTTAATTAAGGTTACTGATTGTGGTGCCCAAATTTGAGATCCATAGCAGAGCTGGGAACGAACAAGACATAAATATAGTCTGCGACGAACCGTGATATCTTTGATGTTTAAGGTTGATCTTCGGACATATCCTAGCATTTTGGTGGCTTTGTTGCACAGGTGGTCAACTTGTTTAGGCCAAGTCAGAGTAGAAGATGTTAAAACTCCAAGATCACGTTCACAGTCCGTGCATTCTATGATGATATCGTTAAGTTTGTATGGATAAGTAATTTTATTGTGCTTTCGGGTGACTCTTAAGACTTTGCATTTGACCTTATAATGGTTATTTTACACAATGGTTGAGAATTACAGAGTTGAGAAATGAGTCACAGTCCCAAACATTTTGGTGAAATAACATCTTTATTTTCGGCAAGTTGTCCTTTCGGCAAACTGTCCGTTCGGCAAAATATCCGTTCGGCAAAACGTCCGTTCGGCAAAATGACCGTCGGCAAAATGACCGTCGGCAAAATGTCCGTTCGGCAAAATGTCTTTCGGCAAAGTGTCTTTCG